AACCCTAAACCCTAAACTCTAAACCCTACTAAGTTCACTGATTCTTCAAGTAGGGATTCGGGCTTTAAGGCTTAGGGTGCCAAACGACCTCGAAGCCTTCGCAGACATAGACGGGGGTCGATGCACCCGTCTCTGATTTGCAAGAGTGCTAGACATGGTGAAGCAATTTAGGGGACCCTAAACCCTAAACCCTATAAACCCTAAACCCTGAACCCTAAACCCCTAAACCCTAAAACCCCTAAACCCTAAAGTAGGGAAGGAGGGAATGAGGCACCCACCTTATATAATCCCTCAAAAAGTATGTTTTGGGGGATAAAAGAGGTTTAGCGCGTCTTGTCAACCTTGCAACAGGACCTATGTGGCAGCTGCTTGATAAAAGGTCTTTCGGCATTCCTTGTCTGTTGGAGATTTCATCACATGTCTGATCGTCATGTTTACAAACCAACATCACCACTACTAAAATAAAGTGTATATATATATATATATATCGATATATTTTCTTTCCGTGGCAACAGCTCAAACAAAGCAACTAAGCGCTCGCGCTCGCGCGCTCGCGCGCGCGCCTGCTTTGCATGCACTTCGTGTCGGCGCGAACTACTGCAGCGTCATAGGAGAAGCTAGAGCCCCTAAGCCCGAATGGTTCACCTCCAAAACTCTGACTTCCCTGAGCCCTTAAACTAAGGGATTGGATAGGTCACCAGATAGAATCCTATTCTGTTAATAAAAGGTTGACCCTTTTTTGGCTAGGGTATTCAGGCCCAAAGTAAACCTCTAAACCCTAAACTGGAAAATCTAAACCCCAAACCCCAAACCCTAAACCCTAAACCCTAAACCGGAGGACTCAGCCAGGGACAGCCTCAGCCTCTCGCTGGTAAAGGGAGAGGAGGCGCTGGAACCTTGTGTGGGCGGCAGAGACGCAACGAGCAGGGGTTTAGGGTTTAGGGTTTAGGGTTTAGGGTTTAGGGTTTAGGGTTTAGGGTTTAGGGTTTAGGGTTTAGGGTTTAGGGTTTCGGCTTCAAAGGACTTTTTGCCTCAAGAGCCCAAAACCTACTTTTTGTTTACTAGGTCGCTTATAAGAATCCTATAAGGGTGTTATAGTAAGAGCCTACTACCAACAATAGGTTTTGAGCCCTTCAGGCAGGGTTCGTTTAGGCTTCAAAGGAGTTTTAGGGGCGTTAGTACGAAGTGTTGAGTTCAGGGCTTGCGGCTTGGGATTTGGTTTGGGAAGGGCTCAGGTGTTGGGTTTTCGGATTTATAGGGTTGAGGTATTTTTGTTTCTGGGTGTCGGGGGGCTTCGGGTTTACCCTGAAAAGCCCGCTTTAAACGGGCGCCCTTTTTATTCTAGGTTACTCCCCAAACCCTGAATCCTAAACCCTATACTCTTGGGGATTGGTTTCCTGGGGCTGCCTTCGCTCATCGGTTTTTGGGGCGAGAACACCCACCCATTCAGAGGGGTTTGGGTTTGGTTGTTGGTTAGAAACCCTAAACCCTAAACCCTAAACCCTTGGTTATGGCATCCTTTGCCACCCCATCCAAAATGCAGCATCAGGTCCCGTCACTTGTACCCTAAACCCTAAACCCTAAACCTAGACCCTAGTTCCGTAAAGCCTAAACCGCCCTAAAGCCATGTCACTTCGGGCCTGGAACCTTGTGGAGGGACGGCACCCCCTTCTTCCCAACTCTGAAAAGGCCTTTTCCTGTAGGCTCAAAGGGCCCACAAAATAAGAGTCCTTGGAGCCTTAGGGTTCATGTCGACCCCAACAGGGCTCTGTGTTTGGGATTCAGTTCTGCTTTTCAGATCATTGTCCGAATCCCGTACGCGGATACTGCGCTCCCGAATTGATCCCGAGCCCGGAAACCCTAAACCTCCGTGCTTTTGGCTGGCTTAGCGAGTCGAAAACCAGGTTTCTGACGTAGTTGCGAGCGCTGCAGCTGAGGAGCCGTTTGGCAAGCGCCGGATGCGACACAGAAACCGTCTCCCGTCTGCTCGTGCTGCTTTCGTGGGTATTTTGTAGGCCCATCGGAACATGTTTTGGTTTGCTCCCTGAGCAATTGGACGTTGAGAGGATCCTCGTTTGGGAGTGATTGTTCAGAGGGTTCATAAAGGCCAACCTAGATCACCAGCGCCGCCAAGAAATTGGGAGGAACTCGGATCAGGATTCGGGCTTCAGGATTCAGGGCAACACACGACCCAAGATGTTTCACAAGGGGACCCTTTTTAAGTTTGAGTGGGAGTGTTGGTGCGTTTTTGGGGCGTACCCGAATTCGGGTAGTTTGGAGCATACTTATCATGGACTGGGTATTAGAGCCCGCATAGTCCCTGCAAAAGGTTCTGGACAGAAGGTACCAAAATCCTAATTCCCTGTATTCAGAACCCTAAGCCCTCAGCCCATTCTATTCACAAGAGCCCCCTACATACCAGCACTCCGTCATCCCCAAGTGACCCCCAAGGCGTGTGTTTCTTAGGGTAGTTTCATGGGCCCTCAGTATGGTCGCTAACCTCCTTTAAAGGGCTCTGATGCAAGGGCCCTTCATGTGCATAGGGTACGTAGCGCTTTTAAGGGCCCATGCTAAGGGACCATGTAACTGCCCTGAGAGTGTTCAATGTGTGTATTAAACCTTCTGTTTAGCCCTGACAAGTTTCTACGACAATGAAGGTTTTGGCCCGCCCCGCAGACATAACCACAACGCCTGGACAGCTGTCGCAGTAGCCCGTAGGCCTCCAACCCTGAACCTTGAACCCCAAACCCTAAACCCGAAACCCGAAACCAGGTTTTTGGGTAGGGCCTTGAGAGTGGAAGCAGGCGCATTGGGCTGCTTGGGGGTCAAAAGGGTCAAGGGCTCAGTGTTTTGTTCTCAACGGGGTTCGGTTTAGGGTTTAGGGGGTTTAGGGGGTTTAGGGGGTTTAGGGGGTTTAGGGGGTTTAGGGGGTTTAGGGGGTTTAGGGGGTTTAGGGGGTTTAGGGGGGTTTAGGGGGTTTAGGGGGTTTAGGGGTTTTACGGGGTTTAGGGGGTTTAGGGGGTTTAGGGGGTTTAGTGGGTTTAGGGGGTTTAGGGGGTTTAGGGGGTGTAGGGGTTTAGGGGTTTAGGGGTTTAGGGGTTTAGGGGTTAGGGGGTTTAGGGGGTTTAGGGGGTTTAGGGGGTTTAGGGGGTTTAGGGGGTTTAGGGGGTTTAGGGGGTTTAGGGGGTTTAGGGGGTTTAGGGTTTAGGGCTTTAAGATGTTATGAGGGTTAAGGATTGTGTAAAGGTTTGAGCTGAGGGTCTATCAGGGTTACGGGTTCATCAGCTTCACAAGTTGCATGGTCCCTTCGAATGTCGATTTCTGATGGCTGGAAGGGTGTAGACAGCATGTTGCTATTCGGGCCAGTGGCTCCAGGAATCTTAGGGTTTGAGGTTGGGGGTTGAGGTTTAGGGCTTAGGGCTTCGGGCTTAGGGTTCAGGGCTTAGGGTTTAGGGTTGAGGGTTCGGGTTCAGGGTTGTCCAAGAGCTTCTGCAAAGAGGAGCTGCCGCCCATTTGCGCTCAACCCGAAACCCTACACCCTAAACCCCAAACCCCAAACCCTAAACCCCAAACCCCAAACCCCAAACCCTAAACCCTAAACCCCAAATCCTAAACCAAGGCTGAGAAGTGTCAGCCATGCCGAGCCTGGGAATGCGTTTAAATTATGTTCTTTTTTTGACGGATCCTTCTTTTGAGGGTGCCACACTCTCTCTCTCTCTATATATATATATATATGTTTATATATATATATGTATATATATATATGTGTATATATATATATGTATATATATATGTGTGGTACCCCCAAAAAAAACCTACCGTTTCATACCCTTTTCTATGTCGAGACGTGTTTACGATATTCGAAGCCGGATATATATATATATATATATGGATATATATCTATAGATATACATAAAATACGAAATAGTAAATACTTAAAGACTCCGAAAAAAATCTGCAGGGCGAGGAGTTTTAAAACTCCTCTTGTGGCTAAGCAAGGAGTTTTAAAACTCCTGGCCCCGAAGATTGAAGATTGAAGATTCCCCGGAACTCTTTCCAGGAATCTTCAATCCTCAATCTGCGGTGGCAGGAGTTTTAAAACTCCTCTCGAGGCTAAGCAAGGAGTTTTAAAACTCTTGGCCCCGAAGATTGAAGACTGAAGATTCCTGGAAAGAGTTCCGGGGAATCTTCAATCTTCAATCTTCAGTGGCAGGAGTTTTAAAACTCCTCTCGTGGCTAAGCAAGGAGTTTTAAAACTCTTGGCCCCGAAGATTGAATACTGAAGATTCCTGGAAAGAGTTGGATAAGGATTGCGTCAGTGCGTCGCAACTGTGGAAGCACTTGTGCTTAGGCAGGTACACTTCTTCGTTTGTCGTGTATACCATGACCATGTATATCTTATGCTTGGGCAATTACACTTATTCGTTCGTCAGGTGTATCGTGACCATATTTATGCAATCACATACGCGATTATGCGAATTGCTGAATGAATTCGCATGATTGTGTATGTGAATACTATTTTAACTACAGTGTAGACGGCTGGCATAGCCATATACACAGCTTACAAATTTTACAGAAGGAGGGGGGGGGGAATATGTGCATATATAATATAATATGCATGTCTATCTATATACCATATATATATATATATATGGCTATGCCCATATCTACATCACCCTGATATTATTTTCAATTTGAAAGCCATTGAATATGCAAATTTGCCATATTCCTTAGTTCATTGTATGTACTCCTTTTATATACCGCATAAAAAAATCCTATATAGATATGTACTCGGCTTATATTTGAGCTTCACAGTGCTTACATGTTTTTATAGGGGTGGATATACATGGGAGTACATACATAAGCACATCAGTCCCATAGCGTAAGCATCTAACCCTATACCCAAAACCCTATACATCCTACTACTTTACGAACAGTCACGCATGGGTGCGTGCTCTAAAGAGGACAATAGCCACGCACTCACACGCTCACACCTTGGAATGAAGGTGCGCGGCCCAGATGCATTGGCAATCAACTCTGCTCGGCTGCACTGGATTGGCCCTGTTTGGCTTAAGCGCCTATCCCTATACATAAGCTTTTGGGAAAAACACAACATCACCATATGGTGTTGTTTTTGTATGCATTCGGATGCCTAAACATTACATCATGAACCTTGAACCATAAACTGGCATAAACCCTAAACCCTAAATCCTAAACCCCCACAACCCTGAACCCCAACTGACAATAGGACTTGTAGGCGTTAAGGGAAGCTCCAAGACTGCAGAAAGTGTAGGCACTAGGTTTTGATACCAGCGCATGCAATGGCTTTGCTGCCTGGAAGAGTGAAGAGAGCAGTGCTAAACGCTTCTTCGTCTTCGAGACCCCTGCCGGCCGGACGTTTGTTACAATCACACACTCCCGCGGTTGTGCCGAAAGCTGGTGTGCAAGCAGTGCGGGTTCCTACTGTCGTGCCACCACCTGCAGTCCGAAGGCCCGTCAGTGTGCGACCAGTAGGGGTTCCTACTGTCGTGCCACCACCTGCAGTCCGAAGGCCCGTCATCGTGCCACCACCTCCGGTCCGAAGGCTCGTCGTCGTGCCGCCGCCGCCTGGAGCGTCTGCTGGCAGACCAGATCGAAGTCGATCCCCACGGCTACCTGCTACACAGTCCAAGTCTGCAGCAACGAGCAAGCCGAAAGCATTGCCGACTACCTCTTCCCCGCGTGTGCTACAAGTAAGAGAACCAGAGCATCCACAGCCGACGACTTCTTCATCGCCCTCTCCCTCACTTGTGCTACAAGTTGGAGCGCCAGAGCATCCGCGGCCGACGACTTCTTCCTCGCCCTCTTCCTCACCAGTGCTACAAGTCGAAGAACCAGAGCCTCCTCAGCCGACGACTTCTCCTTCGCTGATGTTACGAGTCAAAGAGCCAGACCATCCTCCGCTACGAGACTTGTCGTTGCTATCGGGGGGCAGTCGAAGCCGCGTGCCAAGTTCGAATCGTCCGACCACACAGATCGACCTCAAGGACTTTCCCAATCCAAATCGTGACCGTAAGCTCTCACGACACATCGGCTACAATGTGCAGATCCAGCTTGAGTTGCTTCGCATGAAACGATTTCGTGCTGTGTTGGCGTATGCTGCGACTTGTGCATGGTCACACCGTGAAGTTAGGATGATTGCATTGTGTAGCGCAGGCAAGCACCGTAGCGTCGCCTTTATATGTCTCCTTACCAAGCTGTTCCACGTCATAAACCCGGACATTGTAGTGAATGTCAAGCACCTCGCGGCCCCCAACTGGGCCCCTTGGACTTGCGAGGGCAAATGCCCTGTTTGTCTTGCTAACCGGACTCCAGTAGAAATGCTAGACTTCTTGAACCGTGTCAAAAACAGCATGCCTTGCCAAGCAGCTGCGCCAGAGGTGACGCAGTACTGAGAACACTAGAGCAGAAGACGAAAAAAAAACTCTGGGCTTGAGAGTGTTTCTTAGTGTCTCAGGAGCTTGTAGTGCATGCTGCTTGTGGAGTTTGGGCATCGGGTTTCGGTTTGAGAGTTTCAGGTTTTTTTGTTTAAAGCTTTAGGGTATAAGGCTTGGGGTTTCGCGTTTGGAGTCTACAGCCTGCAGTACGCCCGGGGCCTCAGCAGTTACTGGTTCGACAGGGTTTTTCTGTGTCAACACATATAAATGGTAGGTTTTAGGGGGGGGGGGTAGCATATATATATATATATATATATGAATTAGGACCCCGTTTATTCTAAGGGTTCCGGGTTGAAACGGGGGCCTTACTTCAGAGAACTGCCCACATTGCACCGTTACCTATGTCTGCTAATCGCAAGCCGGACCTGGCGACCTGGTGCAGCAGACTCTGCACTTCCAGGACCCAGAGCAGGCCCCTACTCCCTTCTTTTTGGGTTTGGGTTCCCTTATAAACCACAAAAGGGCACCCTAAACCCTAAACCCTTAACCCTAAACCCTAAACCCCTAGGTTACTCCTGGGTCTCCACTGGCCAGGTGCTCCGAATTTTCCGCATCGGATCCAACGAGTCCCATGCGGCTGGGCTTCATCAAGTCCCAAGGACCCCCTGGGAGGATTCAAAAGGAAGAGTTCCCCCCAAAACAAAAAACAAAAACATGAAAGATAAATAATAGTAATAATAATAATATAAGTACCCCGTACTAGTATTGGGTCGGTCTTAGGAACCCTTAACGGGAGCGACTTTTTGGATCTTTCAGGGGTCTGGTCTTGGGCCTTGAAGCATTGGAACAATTCCGCAGCCTCCACCTGTACGTGGAGGTTCATGGGTAGTTCTAAGGTTTAGGGTTTTAGGGGTTTAGGGTTTTAGGGTTTAGGGTGGTAACTATACTTACACCCTGATTTCCCAATGAACCTCCAAGTTCTAGATGGCAAAGGTGGGTGGCCAAGAGATGCCCTGGAACATGATTGTTGCTGGGGCCCCCTTTATGATTATTTTTTTTTATTTTTATCATTATTTTTATTTTTATTTTATTTTTATTGTATTAGAATTATTATTATTATCATTATTATTAAATAATTCATACTTTCTTTTGTTGGGTTTAAACCCTAAACCCTAAACCCTAAACCCTAAGACTCTTAGTATAAGGGGAAACATCCCACAGACCCAGGCCTGGATGAAGAGGACTTCCTCAGCCTTTGCGACAAGATTGAAGACAGTGGGCTCTCGACAAACTTGATCGAGATCTTCTACGTGGAGGCTTGTTTGGGGTGTAGGGTTTAGGGTTTAGGGTTTAGGGTTTAGGGTTTAGGGTTTAGGGTTTAGGGTTTAGGGTTTAGGGTTTTGTCCCCTGGCTGTTTTTTGGGATGTTGGAGCTTGGTACTTATACTAACACATCGGGTGGTATTATAATCCCTTTGAAGGACTGTTAGTAGTCGGGACTGTTACCCTGAGGGTCCATGTACCTAAATAGGGAGTACTTGGGCCTTAAAGTACTTGCTATATAGGGACTTTGAGGCCCAAGTGTATAATGATTAGGTACAGTTAGCATAAGTGGGGCACATCCCGACCCGAAGCCCTTCGTTGCTCGGGTGTTGATTCCTGAAATCAAGGGCGGAGACACTCGGCTTGCAGCTAGATGTTCGGTACAGGTGCTAAACCCTAAACCCTAAACCCTAAGCCTTAAACAGCCCGGATCTCCCGGCTCTCAAGAGCTAATTGCAGACACGGTCGATCGCACGAACGCTTCCAGACTGTCATCTCAAGAGTGCGCAAGAGAGGGGGGGTTCAAGGGCTGTAACCCAGGGTTCCCTAATTTACTCCACACTACTCCCTAAGCTTCCCTAAGGCTCCCTGGGTACCTACCCTCCCATGAACCCCCCTCATAAAAAGAAACCCTAAACCCTAAACCCTAAACCCTTCTTCGAGGTTCGGTCCGTCAGGGAAGCAGAGGACCATCAAAAGCAGGGTTTAGGTTTTAGGGTTTAGGGTTTACGGTTTAGGGTTTGGGGTTTAGGGTACCCTCAACCCTCCCCCCAAGTCCCCCAAAAAAAGAGCCGAACTCATCAGATGGCATCCCTGTCCCTGGCCAGGGACCGACCCGCGCGGGTCGGCGTGCCGTGGGAACGTCGGTGGGAGGATGGGCTCTGAACTACGCAGTGCAAGAGTTGCAGTCACCACTTCCCTAAAATTCCTGCCGTTTTTGGTGCACACGCCAGGGTTCAATGATGCGGCCCGTTTCAAAAGAAGTGGGCCGCACTTGTCTAAGTGGTGGCCGCTCGGCCGTTTCGTGCATCACGGTTCTCACACACACATGAGGGTTTCCGATATTCGGGGTACCTTATTGGGTCCTCATGATAAGGGATTCCTGCTATTTCTATTTGGGAGTCCATTGTGAATTATAGGGTCCCTTATTTTCGCAAACTCGCACATGTTGTAGTCCCTTCAAGGACATCTTGAGGTATGCCATGCGTACTTGCGCAATAAATCGCGAGGGACTTGTTTCACGTCGCCAGGGCCATGTTGCTTCTTCTTGCTCCAGACGCCTCCCTGAAATCCTAAACCCTGCTTGGGGGTTTGCGTGGGTGGAAGACGCTGCCCTGGGATGTTCCCCGCCAAATACTAACAGTCGTTAATGGGGATTATTCGTTAATGGGGATTATAGTACCCCCTGCGATCATCCCTACTAAGGAGCTGTTAGTATTTTCAGTAACCCCTATTAAATTGTCATCCCTATTCAGGAGCTGATAGTATTTATAGTACCCCTCATTAAATTAATATTTGTTGTTAAGGAGCTGTTAGTATAAGGGGGAACAAATCCCAAGCAAAAGCCTCTTCAGACGCCTCGATAGGAGGTTGGATGGAGCGGCGAGGTGAAGCACCTTGCGACGAGCCACCACTGCCTTCCTTCAATGAAGGCTCGGCGGTTTTTGCGTTTTTGGGTTTCTGGGTTTAGGGTTTAGGGTTATTGTTTTGTGCTCCAAAGTTTGCTTTCAAGAAGCTTCAGCCTTCGACGCGAAATCCCGAAGCCCTTAGACCCCTAAAATCCTCAACCCGCATGCTAAGTTCCCTCAGTCCCTAAACCATAAAGCCCTGAAGCCTTAAACCCACAGCATTCTAAGTTCCCGAAAACCCTAAAGCCCCCAAATCCCAAAACCCCAAAAACCCTAAGACCCCAAAACCCTAAAACCCCAAAACACCCCAAGAAACCCAAAACCCTAAACCCCCAAAACCTCCCAACCCTAAAACCTCAGATCCCCAAATCTCCCCAAAACCCTAAAACCCTTCAAGCTTGAAGTGTGGGGATCGGTATACATGGTTTTTTCTTGATCCTAGGTAGGATAAAGGGGGACCCTTAAAAGGGAACCCTTCTCAACTCTGTTCTGGCCCTCTTAAACAGGGACCTTATTGAGAGGGTCTTTAGCCCCAAGGGTCCCCCTAATCCTATCCCCTACTGGAGGTCCTTTCTAAAAGGGGATCCTACTACTTGGGAGTCAGAAGTAGGTGTCCCCTTGATCATCGTAAACCCCCCATATGGGAATTTTAAGGAGCCTTTTGGGTGCGGGGGGGATATGACGGCACATTGGCCTGCTTACCCGCCCCTGGGACGGGTTTAGGGTTTAGGGTTTAGGGTATAGGGTTTAGGGTTTAGGGTATAGGGTTTAGGGCACAACCCGACATGTACCAGACCCTGTGTCGGCTGCACGTCCTTACCAGCCCTAAAAGCTATAAACCAGAACACGCTCAAGCGAAACCTAACGCCCGAAAGCCCTAAAGCCTAAAGCCCTAAACCCTAAACCCAAACCCCTAAACCCTAAACCCCTCAATCCTGAGCCCTAAGACCTGACACGCGTAGAATCTAGACCCCGAAGCTGTCCATATCTTGGGGACGAAATAACCCCAAAAGAGTTTATGGTTCATATACCTTAATAGGAATTATAGTGGTATAGGGTATATGACCCAAATTTTAGGGTTCATTTGGTCCGCAAGGTACGGCAGCTTTGGCATTGTGCAGTTGGCACGGGTTTTGAGTACAGCTTGGAGTTCAGGTGTACCTTAAGAGCCCAAAACCTGCTTGTTTTGTAGGTTGCTTCATCATCCTGTCAGGGGTTTATCGTAAGAACCTAGAAAATGTAGGTTTGGGCTTGTTAAGGTAGGGTTGAAGGTTTAGGGTTTTGTTGGGCAAGGGCTGTTGTCAGCAGCAAAACCATAGCACGTGCCAAGGGGAGCACTCCGGGTTCCAAACCATCGAACTTCCCAAGGCCCCACCTGCAATACCCCCAAACCCTACACCCTTAACCCCTAAACCCTAAACCCTAGACCCTAAACCCTGAACCCTGAACCCTGAACCCGAATCCTAACTCTGACGCCTAAAAGTCCCATCCAAGCCCGGAATCCTGAACCTTGAGCTTGGGATGTTCCCCCTTATACTAGCAGTCCTTAATAGGGAATATAGTACCCCAATCATAATCCCTACTATCAAGGGTTAGTGTAAGGCGGAACATCTAAACCCTAAACCCTAAATCCTAAACCCTAAAGCCTAAACCCTAAACCGCTCTTGCCCCAGGCACTGTCCGAAGCGAGTCATTTGATTCGCTCGAGTCGTTTCACAGCATCTGGGCCATTGTTACCTTTCTTTTTGGCTCAAGGTTCCCTTATCAAGTACCCAACCCCAAAAAGGGTGTCCTTACTATAAGATGGTTACTGGGCTACCAAGCATCTTTGGGTGCTTGTGAGTTATAGAGGGGTCGGAATAATTATTTACTAATATTCCCTTACGGCCCCCTTTGTAATCATACTAAACTATCCCACCAACACCCTAGTAATTATTAAGGCCCCTGTACTATGTAAACTTGATAATGAAGCAGAATGATCTTTGTTTAACCTCCCTGCTTCGGCTCAGGCATGAGAGTTCGCAGAAACTTCGCCTTGCCAGGACAGGGTTTATTGTGCTTAGGGTTAGTTTAGGGTTTATTGCGTTTAGGGTTTAGGGTTTAGGGTTGGATTCTATGCTGCCCGTACTTACCACAGAAGGCTCACTATTCGGTACTACACGCATTCGGACCCTAAGCTCGAGCCTGAGGCCTTTGGACCCTTTGGAGGACTTCGCAGCATTCCCAGACTAGGGTTTAGGGTTTAGGGTTTAGGGTTTAGGGTTTAGGGTTTAGGGTTTAGGGGGTAGGGGTTAGGGTTTAGGGTTTAGGGTTTAGGGTTATAGCCTCCAGCAATACAACGAAAAGCCAAAAGGACTAGGCCGTGAAAAAATCTCGCTTCGACACAATCCGGCACTCGCAAGCCCGAAACCCAAACCAGGCAGGCCCTTAAGGACTTTTCTCACGCTCCCTTATGGGGGTTTCCGAATTAAGGGGTTCCTTCTTGGGGTCCGTTTTTCAAGGGGAATCCTACTAATTATTTGGGGGGTCTATTTAGGGTGTCCCATATTTTCGTAAACGCCCTTATGGCTGTAAGAGGATCTAGGACTCTTTTCCAGAAGGCTTCAAGGGCTAACCTGGCAAAACTTAAATCGCCCGCCCAAGTCGGCACAACATCGCATCGACAACCTTGCGGGAAGGCGCCGACGCAGGGTGGGCGACATGGGTTGGATCTAAATAGTGAACTTGTTTTTATGTGTTTCCGTTCTAAAGCAGAATCTGCTACTAGGATTCAGGACCGACAGGGTTCCATGGTAGTTGTTCCCGTGTAGTTTTTTCGGTGTCAGCACGGTTTCCATCGTAATGTGTGCAGGGTACCAAGAGGGTTCAATTGTTGTATGTCGTATCATTCAGATCAACCCCGAGCAAGGGCAGCGTAACGTGCTGGTACCACAGGGGTGGGAATAAATGCTAATGATGGTCCCTTCTTAAATATACTAGAATGACCCCCCCCCCAAAAAAAAAACAACTCTTGTAATTATTAAGGCCCCGATATTACACAGGAATATGTACTGTAGAGCTTTGCCCTTTGAGAACTTGGCACACTGCGGGATGAAGTCGTCTGGCTTACCAGCTTTGGGCGTGCTCCGCCAAAGAGCCCAAATACCCCTTTAACTAAGGAATAGACCTCAATTGATTGAGGGGTCCTTAGTACCCCTTTAACTAAGGAATAGACCTTTATTTATTGAGGGGTCCTTAGTATGATTTAAGGTAATTTACTTGACTAATACCCCTTTAACTAAGGAATAGACCTTTATTTATTGAGGGGTCCTTAGTATGATTTAAGGTATATTACTTGACTAATACCCCTTAACAAAGGAATATACCTTATTTTTTTGAGGGGTCCTTAGTGTGATTTAAGGTATATTGCTTGACTAAGGGGGGCTCTTTGGGCAGCTGTCTTTGTTCGTTTGGTGTTTTTTCTTACTCCTGCGCATGATCTGACACTTGACATGCCGTACCACACCGCACAAAGTTCAACGTGTCACTGTACATCCCTCAGCCTAAACCCTAAACCCTAAGGGGGGGCATAGCCTTATTGGCTATTACTGTACGGTCTAGGCTGTTACGCTGCTCGGTTTACAAGCCCCTTAGCAGCCCCTAAACTCTAAACCCTAAACCCTAAACCCTAACTTTTCACCGCCTGCAGGACACGTGGCAGGGCACGAGGATGAGCCCGAAGTCTTATGGCTTCCCTCTTTCAACCACCGCAACCACGCAGCACCGAGAGATGTGGGGTTCAGGATTTGCCCCCAGGATTACTAGGACCCCGGAGTAGGCCCTTATTTCCTTTTGTGTAGGGTTGGGGTTCCCTTATAATCCCCTTAAAACCAAAAAGGGTACCCTTTTTATTCCCAGGTTACTCCTGGGTCTAGATGAGCTAAGGACCCCCCCCGCCGGGCCTGTGCATGAAAGAGGGTGACGCAACAAATTGTTTAAACAGAGTCGGGCTGGCTCGTGGACTACCAGGTTCCAACGGGCCTTTAAAGGGTCTTTAGGGTTTAGGGTGTAGGGTTCAGGGACGTACAGGGTATAGTAGCCCATCCTGGTTTGAGGTTTTGGGTTTAAGGCCGGCCGCCGCCCTCTCTAAACCCTAAATCCCCTGAACACCCAGACTCAGAACGCACGCCTCTCTCTGAGATTCTGCCTTAAGGTACCATGAAAAGCGGTTCATGTAGGGTTTGTTCACGCTACAAATCCCTAGATTCTGCCTTAAGGTACCATGGACAGTGGTTCCTTTGAATCATTTCACAGCACGAACGTCCGCCGGACCTACGCCGTGCCAGGACGCCTTGTGAAACCCAAGCTGTGCTATACCGGAGAGGGTTTAGGGTTTAGGGTTTAGGGTTTAGGGTTTAGGATTTAGGGTTTAGGGTTTAGGGTTTAGGATAATAAAGAAGACTGGGTTTTGGAGTACTTTACTTTAATGATTTTTTGGTTCTGGGTTCCGATTGTAGCTACTGATACCTAAAAAAGTATAGAGTGTTTTTTTTCAGGGTCTACTCCAAAGTAGGGTATATGCCATGCTCGATTGAACGCAAAGCTCTACCTAGTGGGTTTCGGGTTCAGGGTTTATGGGCCAATTTTTGTGTCCATGTATTTTTGGGGTACGCAGAGCCACACCCTAAATTCTGAACCCCCAAACCATTAGGGACTCTAAAGCTCAAAACCCCAAACTCCTATTTTTGAACCCTGGACCCTGAACCCCAAACTCTACCCCCTAAACCCTAAACCCGAACCTTCCCCACCCGAAGAGTTCGAGCCTGGTGTGAAGCATCAGAAGCTTTGATGCTTGAAACAGCATCTACGATTTTTTGTTGTCCCATAAATGTGAGGTTGCCCGCGGCTGCAGCACGTAAGAAGCCAACGGGCCTACTCTTCTTGACTGCGGTTGAGCTACTGACTGGTGTCTTGAGCTTTTCCTATGGCCCTAAACCCTCAACCCTCAACCCTAAACCCAAAACCGTAAACCCTAAACCCTGCACCCTAAACCCTGTGAGGACACATGCTATATATGAAGCTCATTATTATGCATACACAGCACCTTCCATCCCAAGCCGAGACGGGTTTAGGGGTTATGGGTTTGGGGTTTAGGGTTTAGGGTTAGGCTTTAGGGTTTCATCGACCTTAGAGCGCTGTAGCATCTATCGGGTTTAGTGTTGTGGGTTACGGCCTGTGTCTGGAGTTTAGGGTTTAGTGTCTGGGGTTAGCGGTTTAGGCTTTGGTTATATAGCAGGCATAAAGAAGGTCCCCTAGAAGGGACCCTTAATCTTATCCCCCTATCTAACCCCTATATGTACCTCAATATGTCCCTTTTTACACAAGTAGCTCCTAAATAACCCTAAGGTCCCTTATAAGGGTCCCTCGTTTTCGTCCCTTGAGGGCTTATTTTGGGGTGTCCTGAACCCTAAACCCTAAACCCTAAACCCTGAACCCTGAACCCTAAACCCTAAACCCTAGACCCAAACTCCAACTGTGCAGGAGGTCCGGCCCCGGTGTTTTGGGACGACCACGACGAGGATGACCGCGAAACCGCGACAAGTTGCTGGAAGATCCGAGGCATCTTGCCCTAAGGGTTTAGGGTTTAGGGTTTAGGGTTTAGGGTTTAGGGTTTAGGGTTGAGATGACAAAGTGCTGGAGCACCAACATGGTATTTCCCGATTTGGCGCCATCTCGCGATACTTCTACACAGCCTAGAGTATGCAGCTCGTAGCGTGAATAATGGGGGGGGGGTGAGTTAATGTTGGCAGTTGTCTTCCCTGGTGAACTGCGTTCAATCACAAACCTGAGTCATTCGGAATGTTTGGCTCGGAGCCTGCTGGTCAAAACCAGCAATCGCTCAGGGTTTTGGGTTTTGGTTTAGGGGTTTAGGAGGAAACCCTAAACCCTGAACCCAAAACCCTCAACCCTAAACCCGGGGCATTTGGGTTTGATTTGATTCACTTGTTGCTCCCATCAGTAATCCCTTCCCCCTAATATTAAACGGGGGGTCCCCCCCCTCCCCCCAATAGAAATTTGAAATGTATTTTATTTTTAGGGGGGGTTTTTATCGAAATGCCATTTTCTAGACTCCAGGTTTACTCAAGTAATCAAGTACTTAAGTGTGGTGTAAACTGAAAGAAGAGACAGAAAAGAGAGAGAGAGAGAGAGAGAGACTCAACTCTGGCAGCACAGCGACAGCATCGTGCTGCGAAAAGACTGGACTCTGAACCCTAAACCCTTAATGAACCCTAAGCCCTAAACCCTTAACCCTAGACCCTAAACCCTCGTTGGCTTCAGGGTTTTGGGAGCCCTGAACCCCCCCCACCCCCCCCTAATTCGGAATAGGGTTTAAAAGGCGGGCTCGGTTTCGGCAGGATTTTCCGGAAAGTATTTTTAGTATTACGGGGGTCTTGAATAAAAGGGGGAAGCGATTACTCGTCGAGCTCATGAGGCGGAATAAGACCTCCTTCCTCCGCCCCCATGACGAGTGGCCCAAAAATTACTTGGCCCAGCGATATGGGGGGTGGGGGGGTTCAGAATCAGCTCTTCGGTGCCCGAGACCGCCCCAAAAAAGCCCTCTTAGGGTTTAGGGTTCAGGGTTCAGGGTTTAGGGTTTAGGGTTTAGGGTTTAGGGTTCGACACACCTCCTGCATGTGGAGGTTCACTCTGACGGCCCTGAGGTGTAAGGTCTGCAGTTCACTCCAACGAAATCTATTCGACACCAAAGTAGCGAGCTTGGCTAAAGACTAATGAATGCTTGGACTTGAGATGCTGCCACGCCCCCTAAACCCTAAACCCTAAACCGTAAACCCTAACCCTAAACCCCATATCGGGTGTAAGACCGAACTGGGAAGTGCCTCTGGAGCGCTGAAAGGCAGAGCCCAAGGATGCTCATAATGCTTTAATGCCACCCGTAAACCCTGAACCGTGAACCCTAAAACCTAAACCCTAAAAACTAAACCCTAAAAGCTAAGCCCTAAACCCTAAACCCTAAACCCTAAACCCTAAACCCTAAACCCTAAACCCTAAACCCTAAACCCTAAACCCTAAGCCCTAACTCTTAAGCCCATATAAACCCCGAGGCATCCTTCCATACAAGCAGAAAGCTACCTCGGCGCCCACTGCTGGATGGACCTCGAAGGCAATCTGTCGCGGGGTTCCTTACTTAGCTCCAGTCACCTACCTTTTTTTTTTTTTTTTGGGGGGGGGGGTGGGGGGGGGGGGGGGGTTGGGGGGGGTGGGGGGGTTGGGGGGGTGGGGGGCTTGGGGGGTTGGGGAAGGGCCTCCCCAGTGTATTCGGGTTGTGAACCTCTGGTTTGTAGGTTTTCGAGTTGCAGGTACTAGCTACTCCATACGGGCGCTCGAAACCCCAATTATAGCTGCACTCCCTAAGTCCTGTAATAGACCCTTTTCACCCTAGAAACCCTACAAGCCCCATGAACCCAATTATCAACCCTCGAAGCCCTCAAAAGCCTATAAGCCCCCCTTAACCCTACTAACCCTATGAACCCTAAAAACCCTATTGACCCTCTAAACCCCATAAACCCTACTAAACCCTATACACCCCAGAGACCCTATAAACCCTAATTATAAAGACCCTATAAACCGTGTAAACCCTACAAACCCTATACACCGCATGAACCTCATAAACCCTACGAACCCTATAAACCCTAAACTTGATTCTCCCTAAACCCCAAACCCTAAACCCCATAAACCCTACTAACCCTATAAACCCCAAAGTTGAGTCTCCGGGGGCACCTCAGGAGCAGCCACCTGGTTGGGGTTTGGGATTTGGAGCCCTAAACTAAACCCTAAACCCTAAACCCTAAACCCTAAACCCTAAAGCCCTAAAGCCCTAAAGCCCTAAAGCCCTAAAGCCCTAAAGCCCTAAAGCCCTAAAGCCCTAAAGCCCTAAAGCCCCAAAGCCCGAAAACCTAAACCCTAAACCCCAAACCCTAAAACCCTAAACCCTAAACCCTAAACCCTAAACCCTAAACCCTAAACCCTAAACCCTAAACCCAATTTTGGCCTTACAGCCCTTGGAGCTTTTCGGGCTGAGAGGCTCGGAGGATGAAGAATTGGCTGTGCTCGGCGATCTCGTCGCGGAAAGCGCAGGAGCAGTGAAGCCTCAGGGGTGTTTAGGGTTTAGGGTTTAGGGTCTAGGGGTGTAGGGTTTACGATTTGGGGTTTAGGGTTTAGGGTTCGGTTTAATGTCTAGGGTTTAGGGCATAACCAAGGGTTTAGGGGGTGTAGGGGTTAGTGTTTTTAGTTTAGGGTTCCTTATCTGCTAAACCCTAACCTCCGAACCCTAAGCTCCCTACAAGACCCTGTAGTCTGGACCCGAAGCTGCGATTCCTAATGAAACCCTGGCCATTTCAGGTTCGATCTACTGTACACCTGACAGGGGCTTAGGGCTTTTGAGGTTGGTGTTTTGGGGTTTAGGGTTTAGGGTCTACGGATGGGGTTTCGGGTCTTCTCAAATCGCAAAGTCCTCTCCCTGCAATAGGGTGAGGGGTCTTTGGGAGCTCAGGAAGCGTGGAACTGGGACGGATAGTTTCGGCAAAGTATGGTCCCTTCTTGCATGGGTGCCCTGAATACAAGGCTCCGTAATTTTCGGTGATTGCTCAACGCATCTTAGAGCACATTAAACGAGAAAGCCAAACCTCCCAAACCTGAGTTCTGAAATCGCATGCAGAGTTGCAAGAGTCGCAACCCATGACAGGCCTAGTCTGGTGTAGGGTTCAGTCTAAGTGCTGGCTCGGACAAGCCTTTGATTAAGGGTCTTGGCTTGAGGGCTAAATGGGTCTTGCAGACAAAAAAGTTGGATGAGGCTCCCAAGGTCTAAGCCCTGAACCCCTAGACGCAAACCTTCTTCTGGCTTCCGCGTAACCCCCTGAGGTGCCTTAGACCCAACGCCCAGAAGCCCGCAGGGTTCAAGCCTTGCAATATGAGAACTATGAGAGCTGATGAAAAGGGATCAAGGGGCTTTGGGGTGTTCGGGGTTAAGAGGTTCAGTGGTGTTGCACTCAGGGTGCAGGCCTTGAGGGGCCTGTATCCGTGAATGCTGAGCCCCATGCTCCGAAACCGCAAGCCATGGGTCAAACCCCCAGGAGGGTGTAGGGTTTAGGGAGCAGGTTGTTTTAGCAGGTTCCAAGGACAGGCTCAGACTAGAAATCGCGATTTCGGCGGATGGTATATTTTGCCGGGCTACGCTCGCTGCCTGATCATGAATATTACTGCTGAGAACCAGCGGCTACATCCAAACCCTACAGTGGCCCATGTAACCATACAGTATATTCTTGGGTCTACAGCTACGAAATCGGAACCCCTGTAGCTACAGGGGTACATGGACTCGGAGGGGTAGGTTGCCCTAAGCCACTTTGGAGTTTTCTAGGGGTGGCCCTCAATGTACACACGTGCGCAGAAGGGGCGCCCATGTCCGGAACCTACTCCATACCCTAAGCCTTCAGCACAGAATGTGTCTGACCAGGACGCCTGAGCATGCAGACAGCCAGGCTGGTCAACCGCCTCCCCACAACGCCCTAAAGGGTTTCAGCCCGCCTCTTGCAATTGAGCCTAGAGTTAAAGAGCAGGCCGTCGTTGTTTCTTGCCTGTTGTTTTTCATGGGGTGGCTTTTTTGTTTTTTAGCGGTGTGTGTGTGTGTGTGTCTATCTGTCTGTCTGTCTGTCTGTCTGTCTGTCTGTCTGTCTGTCTGTCTGTCTGTCTGTCTGTCTGTCTCTGTGTGTGTGTGTGTCTGTCCGTCTGTCTGTCCGTCCTTCTGTCTGTCTTTTTGTTCGTATGTTGTGTGTTTGGTTGGTTGGTCGGCTGCTGGCTGGCTGGCTGCGGGGGGGTCGGGGTGGCACAAAGGGAGCCCAACATTCCCAACCGAACTACACCCTACAGCTCGACACCCTACCTGCTTGGCTTGCTCCCCGACAAGGTTTGGACCGCCGCTCCGTGAGCCCAAGCCGATGACACCGAGCCATGTGGAGCGGACATCCTGTGTATATCGCGCGCTGAATTTAATTTTTTCCCAATAAATGTCTGGCGGCGCAGCCTTTCAAGAGATAAAGTTCTCGTGCTTTCTTTGTACGACCCGCGCTGGAACCATTCCAAAATGGATGGGAAACAGCTGGTTTTTTGTTGCGCCTTTCTCGTCTTTTTGTGAGGGCGTGGTGCCCTTTGTGAACTTGCAAGACGCATGACATCCACATGGGAGCACCTAACTAGCTCGTGCGAACCTGTGAGTGCAGCAAATGCTGACACAACGCATCACAGGGGCACGCTGAGCAGGTGCTTTATGATGTACCGCGGTAGAAACCTGGCAGATGAGAGCGATGTAGCTGAAAACCGAGCAGCTTGAGTAGAGAAGCATCATTCTCGTGGAGTATATGCGCGAGTCTCGGGGGACCGAGCGAGCTGTGTTTCAAAGAATATTGGCATTGCAGTTGTTGCTAGCCATGTCTGGCAATAAATGCCTCACAAAGTCACCAACTGCGCGCAGCCAGTCCTTGATCGTTCGGCCAGAGGCAGAATAGTGCTGTCAAGCTAGTCACTAGTTGTAAAGTTGAGAGGCAAGCTGGCAAGAGACTGGTCTGCGGCTGACTCAAGGGGCTTTCGCAAGCTTCCATAATGTACTCTTTCCCGCGTTCGTTTTGCCCATGCCTTTCGCAGAAGGCACCGGCCGGTGCGCAAATCGGGCCGCGAGGAACCTCAACGTCTTCTCCACATTCTTAGGTCTTCTAGAGCAAAATCCATTGAGTGTTTGAACCTTTGTGCTAGGAGAGCTGGGCACATTGCTTGGAGTAGGAAGGGGCTTCATCCGATTCTCGTTGGACCGAGCTGCACTTGAAATTGGCATGACCGGCTTAGCTTGAGAGGCTGCGCAGTCTTCGTGCCAGTTCCTGCCGACGTTTTCCTACAGATCCTATTTGTGTGGCAAGATTTGATTTCACTTTTGGCGACATAAGTCCGGCAGAGTGCGGCTACGCACAGGAGCAGTTTAAGTCTCACCAAGCCGCGCAGACAGTCACTGATTCATCGTTCGGGCAGATGAAGAAATCCGGCAAGCTAAAGTTGAAAAGCAATCTGACAAGAGACTGTTCTGTGGCTGGCGTCTGGTTTGTTGCACTAAATGTGGCAAGATTTGACTCTATTTTCTGTGAGGAAATACGCCTGCGGCTATGCGCAGGAGCAGTATACGTCTCACAAAGCAAATCGCAACCGACTGCGTGCAAGATGATTTTTGTCAAGCTAGTCACTCGCTGTAAAGTTGAGAAGCGAGCAGACCAGAAACGGGTCCATGGCTGCTTCAAGGGTTTAGGGTTTAGGGTTTAGGGTTTAGGGTTTAGGTTTAGGGTTTAGGGTTTAGGGTTTAGGAAGCGTCTTTGGCACACCTCTGCCAGCAGTGTGGAGGCCAGGGCTTGTCCCGATCCGGTGCCATGATTCTCCGGCACATGTCGCCCACCCCGGAATATTGGAGTTTAGGGGGTTTTAGGGTTTAGGGTTTAGGGTTTTGAGCTAGCGAACCACATGTGTGGCAGTTTGGATTCATGGGCTCAGTGGAGACCCATCGGCCCGGGGTGGGCTGACGCATGCCCCCCATGCACGCACCTGCGTAGCTTCGACTGCACGGCCCTCTCTCCAAATACAAGCAATCTCGAATCGTGAGTCAACCCGAACGAAACCCTAAATCCTACACGCTAACCCCTACACCCTAAACCCCCCTAAACCCTAAACTCTAAACCTAAACCCTGAACAGGCTTTCGGGGGTGCTCTCGAGTCTTGTTTTTGGGGTTCTTGGGGCTGCAATCTTGGAGGTTCAGGGTACTTATAGCCCCAGTTATAGCTGTACTGATATGCCCCCTAAGTCCTCCAAGTAGGTCATAAGTAGACTTACAACAGTGGTTATGAGTACCCAAGAACCTCCAAGTAGGGTTGCAGGATGTTTTGGCTTGGAGGAGGTTGGGGTGCTAGGGGGGTTGGGGTTTAGGGTCTAGGGCTTGGGGCCCAGGATGTGTTAGTGTTTGTAAAGTTTAAGTTTTCAAGGTTTTCAGCTCTTCAGGGTTTTGAGCTTTTGTTGGCCTATAGCCATTAGAGGTTTAGACTTACCTGGTTCCAATGTAGCAGTTGAATATGAGGCTTGGGATTTTGAGTTCAGGGGTACAAGGTGACAAGTGTGCTGGGGCACGTGGGGTGGTGGAGGGGGGGGGGGGGGAGGGAGGGGGGGGGGGGGGAGGAGGGAGGAGGGCTTCGCCTGGGTTGGTAAAGCGTGCAACTTTGCATTCAGAACATGATGCTGTCCAGAAGGGTTGCCTCAAAGTTCAGATGAACATACTCTATTCTAGATCATAGTTCAGTATGTTGCGTGTCAGAACCCAAACCCCCAAAACCCCAATTAAACCCTAACCCTAACCCTAAACCCTAAACCCTAAACCCTAACCCTAAACCCTAAACCCTAAACCCTAGACCCTAGACCCTAAACCCTAAACCCTAAACCCTAAACCCTAACCCTAAACCCTAAACCCTAAACCCGTTTTGGGGCGTCGGCTCGGCAGAGCCTGGTGTCAGGTGTCGACTCTGCGCCAAGGGCAGTGGCGACGGCTGGACTTTGCCAAGGGCCCGAGAGGGCTCTACGGTCGGAGCCTTTCGGTTCAGGGCGTAGGGTTTAGGGTTTAGGGTTTAGGGTTTTTAGGGGCCCTAAACGCCTCCGCGGCTGTGCGGCGAAGACATTTTGGTGCATTCGCTTGCTATCATGCCTAGAGCCTTGCCTTCCTAAACCCTTATAAACCCTAACCCTAAGCCCGAGGGTTTCGCTTTAGGGTTTTCATTGCACCGAGACTGCGTTTGGGATTTACGAACAGGGAAAGTTAGAGTGACCTCACTTATAGCCTTACGTACTAAGAAAGCTTTGGCTGTAATCCAACTTCTCACCTTCCATAGAGACATACAAGTTATAACCTGCTTATGTGCATCATTACTTCCGGCCATCCATGAACCTAGAACTTCATACAGCTAGCTGGAGCTTGAATGAGTGCCAGTATGATCTCTGTGTAAGCCTCAAAGGGTTGGAAACTGCTCAAAAACCCTTTCGAATTTCACCAAGGTTCTCCCATTGCAACCCTTACAATGGTGGGACCCCCCCCAAGAAAAACAAAAACAAAAGACACAGAAGGAGAAGGAAAGCACCCTAACCCCGAGACCTGAAACCATTCTCATCAAAGAGGCCCCTATCTTTGCATGCAACCCTTATCATAGTGGGAAACCACCCCCCGCCCCCCCCCCCCCCCTCCCCCCCTCGCCCTCCCCCCCTCCCCCAAAAAACCGAAAACAAAAAACAATATAAAGCAAAATACAACAACAAATCACAATATTAAAGACAGAAATGTCAAAAACAAAACAAATATATGTATACATATCCATATATATATATAGATATATATATATATATATACACATTGCCCTAAACCCTAGACCTCCAGGCTTTCTCATTATACCGGCCCCTGTCTTAGCATCCTTGCCTTGAGGCCGGACCCTGGCTGTCCTGGGCGTCGGCTACATCGGCCGCGAGGTGATTAGGCCCATTTTTTTTTTTTTGGGGGGGGGGGGGCAAGCTGTTGAGACGGTTCAGCGCTCCAGGATGGGCTTTGAAAGTTTTGGGGTTATCGGGTATATGGGGTTTAGGGTTTAGGGTTTCGGGTTTAGACCATTAAGCCTTGTAATCACCATAGTCAACCCTACAAGGGGCCTTTTCCAGGGGTTCCGGGGCATAATAGCCCCTCCTGGTTACGTGCTTAGGAGTTCACGGGTTTAGGACTGAGGCAATCAACGGAGTCATTCTCGGACCCCTGAGGCTGTAGCCCTAAGACGTGTCCCTTTATCTACTCCTCATTTGGCCCTATTCCCTTAGAGGATCTTTCAAAGAGTCCCCCAAACCCAAGGGTACAACCTTAGGGGTCCAAGGCAGAGTCCCATGAGGGGTCCAAGGGAGAGTCTCATGAGCATCGTGGTTCAGGGGTTTGGGATGGAAGCTGTAGGGGTTACCCTTGGGCTCAATAAAGCCCAAAAGCCTTCCAGAATAAGGCCTTTTGGGCCCAACAACCTGAAAATAAGAGTCCTTGGAGCCTTAGGTTCGGGTTGAGGTTTTAAGCGTTCAGGGGATTTGTTTAGGCAGAGCTAAGGGCTTTTTGGCTCGGCCCGGCCCCTACAAGCGAAGAAAGATGTCCCAAAACCCTAAACCCTAAGCCCTAAACCCTTTAGTTAGTTCCCGGTTTCTCCTGTCCCGGTCTAAGGGCCTGGGCAGGTTTCCAAGTTGTGGTCACCGTTCAAATAAGAACCCCAAAAAGGGACTTCGAGAACTGAATTTTAAGTGTAATATAGGATACACGGTACCTAAACACCCTAACCTTTCTTCTCTAAGCCCTAAAGCCTAAACCCCAAACCTAAACCCTAAACCCCAAACCCTAAACTAAGTCAGGGGGTCGCTTCCGTCGAGCGACA